TGGACAGAACAACACTATGGAAGCTTCTTCAACACTACGGCGTGCCTCAGAAGATAGTCAATATCATACAGAACTCATATGATGGATTACACTGCAAAATCGTGCATGGAGGACAGTTGACATAGTCGTTCGAGGTAAAGACCGGTGTCAGGCAAGGTTGCTTACTCTCACCCTTTCTCTTTCTCCTGATGATCGACTGGATCATGAAGACGTCGACATCTGAAGGGAAGCACGGGATACAATGAACATCTAGGATGCAGTTGGACGATCTAGACTTCGCAGAAGATCTGGCTCTTCTATCGCAAATGCAACAACAAATGCAGGAGAAGACGACCAGTGTAGCAGTAGCCTCAGTAGCAGTAGATCTCAATATAAACAAAGGGAAAAGTAAGATTCTTCGATACATTACAGCATGCACCGATCCAATCACAACTGACGGAGAAGATTTGGAAGATGTAAAAACCTTTACATATTTGGGCAGCATCATTGATGAACAGGATGGATCTGATGCAGATGTGAAGGTGCGGATCGGCAAAGCAAGAACAACATATTTACAACGGAAGAACATCTGGAACCCAAAACAACTCTTTAACAACCAACATCACGGTCAGGATTTTCAATACAAATGTCAAGACGGTTCTACTGTATGGGGCAGAAACCTGGAGAACCACGAAAGCCATCATCCAGAAGATACAAATGTTCATTAACATTTGTCTACGCAAAATACTTCGGATCCATTGTCCAGACACTATTAGCAACATCCTATTGTTGGGAAGAATAAACCAGGTACCAGCGGAGGAAGAAATCAGGAAAAATCGCTGGGAGTGGATAGGACACACATTGGGGAGAGCACCCAACTGTGTCACAAGGCAACCCCTCACCTGAAACCCTCAAGTCGAAAGGAGAAGAGGAAGACGAAATAATACATTACACCGGGAAATGGAGACAGACATGAGTAAAATGAACATGAATTGGATGGAACTAGAAAAGAAGGCCCAGGACATAGTGGGTTGGAGAATGCTGGTCGGCGGCCTATGTTCCATTAGGAGTAACAGGCGTAAGTAAGTATGTTGAGGTGTCTCCCCGTTACCGTTATGTGTAATGTTGTATGCGCATACACGACGGCGGATTGTTATATATAGGAAAGATTAACAGATGTGTCCAGTCACTGTATATTTATTTACTATTCATGTACTGAATTTGTGAAAGTGTATTCCACAGTTGGCCAACACTAACTTCCTTCAATTCATTCTAATATTCAAGTTAATTTTAGAAGTGATCATTAGTTACCTCATATTTCTTGTTTATTTACATAAGAATGTAAAACGGTGTTTTTATTTATTATGAACTTAAATCATATCAAATACGACACATATTTTGTTCTTTCATACTTTGACATACGATGATTTATTAGCACACCGTATTATTGAAATGCTTAATTAATTCTGGTTTAAACTCATTTACAGCAGAGAATGTGATTATATGACTACCCTGGTATATGACAACAGATACACAGATGAAAAAAGAAAGGAATTTTCCAAAAAAATTCTCACAACAAATCCTACACAGTAATATATTCTAATGGATGATCCGATTGCTTAGAATGTTAAGGGTCAATGTATTCTTAAAATTACTGAATGGTTTTTATAAACGGTTGTATATTGTTAACTAAATTATAAACATGAAATTTTTGTACAATGATTTATTTGTATGTTGTTAGGGTAGAATTAAACAGTGGACAACTTCATAAGACGTATTTGTCTTCAACTTGATACAGCAATCGACATAGCTCTTATCAGCTCAAAAACTAAGAAGAATATTTAAAGAACTCTAGTTTGTACAGCATCTTAACTAGCACACAAAGATTCTGGTAGAAAGTTGAACATCGATTGGGGAAGCATGCTGCGATGTTTGCACAGGAAATACAACTACGAACAAAACATTATACATTACAGACTATTCAGGACTCGATTTATTGTGGTTATATCTGGTGGAAACACCAAAATGATCAGACTATTCGATTAAAAATGTACATGCGGATCAGAACCGATAACACGATAAACAGGGACGAGGAGAACGCCTTATTACAAAGACATCACTACGTGTTTGCAGAACGGGGTTGAGACTGCACGAGGACAAAAGCATTACTGACCCTCAGATCTGAACTTCTCAGATTGTACTGTAATGACAGTGCTACTAGAATATACTCTGATCTGGTGATCAGGAATCAAACGAAGTCATCAAATATGAAATGACAAAGACTCAACTGAAAACAGAGTAATTATAACTATTTATTCAGAATGCTGATCTTTTCATCAGTGGGCTTGCAATATGCAGCCTATACAATTGATTTCAGTGTGACTCATGCAATTTACTTACAAGAAGCAGTGTTGAGAAACATTTTCACGAAAATATATAACTAGAAATTGCCAGAAAACACTTGTATCTCCGCGTTGCTGATATTGCCGATCTGCTTGTCGACTTGTTTATACTGAAATCTGAAATATATACAATATCAGTATTTTGAAATGAAGTGACTTGAATCAGTAGATGAAGTTCATCATTTGATTTCACGAGTCACATATACTGATTCAATTTAAACAAAGATGAATAAATGAGATAAAAGTAGACCAAAATGCAAGCACATAATACGAATCGTTGCGCTCACACATCATTATCATCATCCTCTTATTTTACCCCTTTTGGTTATTACAAATATCGCATGTGTGGATAATCTTGTCGAATAACTTATAAAGTAAATACACTTAACACATTGAAATTGTGGTGGATCTTTCTGGTCGTCCGAATAAGCCTTATTTTCAGTTCTTCTTGATACATGAGTACAATGTTTATCTGCAGTGGACGGGACCTTAAACACTGTCTTTGTCCACTTCACATCACGACTGACAGTCAGAATATTTATGCAGTCGTATGCAATGATAAAAATCTCGTTCATGTGTAACTGAAATAAGAAATTTCGAAATTTGGAAAATCGATTGATGAGTTGAGGCGTTTTAGGAATTCAGTCTTCGAACTTTTATCCATAATGAATGCTTCAAAACAGAGTTTGAGAAATAGATCGAATTTATTTGATTTAACAGCAGAACGCGTTTTTAATTATCTAGTTCTCACTGACAGTGTGATAATAACAAGGCTTATCTAGTTTCCTTAGCAGGAATTTCAGTCTGTCCACCTGAGTAAGCTGGAAGTTCATAGTAGTTGAGAGAAGATATTCTAACTACGTTTAGTGTTTATCATCACTGATTATCAACGTGCGTCTGTAATTTCAATAACATTGGCGATCTGTTTGAATATCTGGGTTACCTGTTCCTGTCATCTAGTTATTCCGACAAGTTATCTGTTTTCTTGTTTGTTTTAATAGGCTATTTTGTTAATTGTCTGTATAACTTATTCAGGTGCGTATTTATCAATTTCATGAGCGCTAAGGCTTTCTGAATGCAGATCGAAACCTCTTGAACTGTAACACTTTGCTGATGAGTGTCAAATAGCATGAAACCACGGTTCATGATTTCCTGTAGACTAGATCCAACTAAAAAGTAAATATTGAAAATATTTTGATTGTTGCTTATTTGAGTAATCATGTTAACACCTTGTAAATGCTGAAGAATCTATTTATTTTGCATAATCGATATCTTAACCGAACTGATTTTAACTTATCGGTACAGAAATTTTCTTTGTAGGAACCTATATTGTCGATCTTTACAGAACGTTACTTTATCAATGAAGTTCAACATAATTATATAATAGAAAAACATCAGTAATACAATTATTATGTCATACCTAAATAATATACACTGAGGTATCAGCGTATACCAACACTCATCAGTGATGAAGTTGTGGAGATATGACTGACAAGCTTATTTTGTAAATAGTTTTTAATATTATTTGTATTTATTTTGTCAATTTCTCGCTGCATGTACATTTATCATTAAATGACTGTACGTGTTGTTTTAGTCAATGACCTTGAAGACACTTTCCGTTGAGCAACTACATAGCGTGACATATTCGTGCTGGTTAACAAATACATTACTACTCACGCATCCCTCGTTCTATCTTCATTTGTGATTGAGTTAATGGAAGTCTAAATCAAATACTATCTACATTTATAGACTATAATCGGAATATATCACATCCTACGTTGGACTATATCGCTATAGCGATAGAGAGTTCGCCAACCTGCTCAGAGTCATCAAGCATTCATAATTGTGGATTTATATTACTGGACCTAATCAGAACACGCAACGTTTGGGCAATTTAAGTAACGTCCCCAATTTTTACTGTATTTGTAACAATTAACTGTATATATTAATATTACTATTTATCTTTAGTAACTTTGTTTATACTTTTTGCGTTCATATTTGTCTGGTCCACCACAAAGTAAGGAGTATTATGCGTTGTCCATCAACAAGGTGGCTAAACAAGAATTCCGATTGCCTTAATTTTTCTCACTACGACCCTGTCACAAATAAATTTCTTTCAAGTTGAAAATAAAGGACTTCCACCGTTTTAGATTCTTCATTTGTCGCTGGTCGAAATCAGACTATGACAAAAAATAACTCGCACAAATAATTCAACATGCTCCTCGCCTAAAACTGATGGATATGGATAAATAACAAAACGTAATCCGCAGCTGGTTATCTAGTACTGCTAATGAAGGCATAGAAACTGGATGATCAACCTTTATTCCATTATTACTAGTATTAATCAAAATCTAATATAAGATGATGTCAAAACGTTTCTCAGCACAAGTTAAATTCAAAATACGTTGACAGTAATCAATTAAAAATAAACTGCATTTACACCAGATGTATTCTTATTGGAAGAGAGACACATACACACGCAAACACCATATACACACATTCAGAAGTATCCAACGAATCGCTTTCTGTTTAAGTGAATTTTACAGTCCATTTAGCCAGAGTAAAAGGTATATATACACATAGAATTTCAATGTTTCAGGGCGATACAGACTGAGTAAAATGAATGCGAATCTTTTACATTTGCTTTTAGCCATTGTGGTTACTGCCAGAATTACCGGTAAGTGTTGCTTCGTAATGTATGTAATTTCATGGTTAAGTATTCTTTGTCAATAACAAGTGAATGGTTAACTATCGATGTAGTGTGATTCTGGTTCGAGTCCACCATGTATCAGTAGTACTCTGTAGATTAGATTTACTTTTGTCCAACTAGTGCCAACCAATATGAAACGTAGGTGAATTAAGATTTTCTAAAGTCTGCCTTCAACTACCTTCAGCAAATGAGCGTTATGAAACTGTTCTCACAAACAATCGTTAAATATAAGCAGCAAGATAATAGTGGATATAATAAATATTTTGAAAGAAATGTGTGTTCATCGAAAGGCTCTTGTAGATCATAATTCTCTGCTTGAAAGAGATATATTTTATCTCATGCCTATCAATTTCTAAGTAACCCTTCAAATTCATCAAATATTATCATGACTTGTTAGCAAACGATTCATTTAATTCTATGGTACATTATTCACTACCTACATCTTCTTTGCATGAATGATGACTTCCCATTACTTTTGAAGTCAATTTACAACTTGCATTGGATACTCTAATGCTTAAGGCAGACTCATGAACGTTTAACAAAGTGGTACAACATCCACACCTTTTTACTGAAGACTTGTTTGTGTGAAGCTTCATCACAAATATGATTGTGTATATGACCCAAGTATCATCGTCGATAAGGAAGTTACTTTGAATGAACCACATTCAATTCCTCTATTGACTGATTTATTCTTGATTTCCAACATATGTAGTTGAAAAAGTGTGTACGTTGAAGTAAACGTGTTTTGCTTTGTGTGCTGTAGTTCAAATTTACACTTTCTGATCTACACAAATGAATCTGATTTATTACATTTGCACATACAGTGTAACATCCAAACTTCGTTCGTTCCCGTGACAAAGAGAAGCCATTTGCACATTCCGTTGTGACTTTATGTCCGACTTATACACCAATCAAAATATGACTTATACAATCTTAGCACTGTGCCCAAACAGTGACGTTCGACCGGTATGTGCAGCCTAGCGTCATTATCGCTCCCATGTCCGCCTTGCCCGTCCACTTGAGTTCAGAACACCAATATCAGCTCCCACTATGCAAATCATATATTTCAAACAAACAGACTGCAACTCACCATGAAATAGGAAATAACCTTTCTACACAATAAAGACAAAAATTGGCAGTAAACATGGGAGGGAGTAGTTAATAAACTGAACATAATTTAGGGACAGTAAATCGTATATTAATAAGTTATAGGTCGAAATGAAGAATAGAATGGAAGAAATATAAATACACCAATTCAAAATATTGATTAGTTATACAATAAGAATATTTATAGAATTCAAGTCCATTATTAAGTCTCAGAGGTTACTCTCAATGAAATCTTCATTAGGATAAAACACATTCATAATACCGTTTTCAGCCATTTTATCATTAGGATGATCATTGTCATTGTTAACTTAAGTTTTCACTAATGAGACAAAAGACACTCACAGATGACACAAAAATACCTACAACTTATGTGTTTTTATTACTTGCACAAATCGGTGTGTAAATGAGAGATTTATAACAAAGGTAATTAGTCGCATAAAGTTTCAGTGTGATGATCTGAGAAAATATCGTTTCATTTATATTATAGACATTCATGCTTATCGTAAAGGCCATTTCGACAGACGTGAGTTCCTGTTTGTTAGTTGTTTTAATATTCTAATCTATTGAATTTGCATAACGTGATAAAACAAACGTTACTGAATTTTTCACCATCGCGATTCCAGGCGAAAAGAAAAATGAGCATTTCTTCAGTAGTGAACAGCATCTGTTGATGCGAATATAAATTCGACAAACTCATCTATATTGAGATGGATTTTTGAATACCGAATGTAGATATGTAGTAGAAAACGTCCACATTCATACAAAGCATTTGAATGTTTGTTTCACATTATGTAATTACATCACTCGAACGAATGTAGTCTTCACGTCCATCATTGCCATTAAACTTGCTAATCAGAATAAGGTTGAATGCGTTCTATTTCAACGATTGGTTTCTGATGAAATTCACCACAAAATACCAGTTTGTAACAATTATGAGAATCAATTGCATTTACATTGTAACCACATTTGAACAATCTTTTTCCTGCAAATGATTTAGCTGTTGATGAACGTCAAGCAAACGAAGGAATAGACGACTTCGGTAAGTACTATTCTCTTCGATGAATGACACCATTGATAAATTTTCAAATGTGGCAAGTTTTCTCACTGTAATTTTCAGTCCGCTACAACTATCTTCAATGTAGTGTCGACCAACTCTGATCAACCTGAGTAGGATTTTATGTTCTTTCTATTCATTCGTTATTGAAAAGTTGAGTTAATGTAAGGCGTGTATGGAGATTCCACAGTTACTCATTTCCTGGTTTCTTCCAAATAATTCAAATAAAAACGAATATATGATAATAGGTAGATGTGGGAATATCTGCTGAAGCATATTTGTACAAATTGAATAAACATATGTTGACACTCATGTCATGAACAACGAAAGTTTACTGTAGGAATATATTCTGAGTACAACTACATATCGGACGATATGATGTCTAAGACCACTCAATCAACTGAAATGAAATTCTACAAGATATGCAGAATTCTTCAGACTGTGACTGATCTAGTACATTTTACCAATGATCTTTTCAGATGCTGAACACAAGGAAGGAAACAGAGAAAGTAACGAACTCAGTAAGTTGATTTCAGTGTGTTGCTTTGTTAACAAGAACAAATTCTGATTCTTGGAAATACTGATTTGTTGACGTGGAAAATGTTTAACAAACCATCTACACTATTGTAATTTATTCTGAGTTATGTCATTTAGATTCTCTAAGCATTGGTTGCGATAATCGCGCGTACCTTAACACAGCAGTTTGCATCTTCCAACACGGCTCAACCTGGAAGTTTGTGACTTCAATGACTGATAGCGTGTTTGGATTTGACCGCCTCAAATTTATCAAATCTTATCATAATTTACTAGCTAACGATTCATTTAATTCTATTGCACATTAGTCTTCCCCTACATTCTATTTGCATAAATGATGACTTTTTATTACATTTGAAGTAAATGTACAACTTATTTTTGTTACTCCAATGTGTTAAACAGACTTGTGAAAATTTTACAAAGTGGCATAACATCCATCTGTTTTAGTAAAAATCTGTCCGTGTGAAGCTTCATTACAAATATGGTTGTATACATGGGCTCAAGTATCATCGTCGATAACGAAGTTGTGCTGAATGAAACACATTCAATTCGTCTATTAACCGGTTTATTCTTAGTTTTCACCATATGAAGTTGAAGAAAATCGTAGGATGAAGTAGACTTGTGTTGCTTCGTGTAATTTAGTTCAAATTCGCACTTTCTCATTTGTACAAAAATATCTGATTTACTACAATTGCACATACAGTGTACCATCTAATGGTCGTTCGCTCTCGTGACGGAGAGAAACAATTTGTATTACTCCGCACACTTCTATTACCGTTTTCAACCAATTTATCATCATAATGATCATTGTCATTGTTAACTTAAGTTTCCGGTAGTGAGCCAAAGCAAACTTAGACATGAAAAGAAATACCCTAAAACATATACATTTACAATATTTGTGTATTTCGGTGTTTGACGATGGGAAAAGATATGGCTTCCTTTATATTTTAGACAATCTCGCCAATCGTGAAAGTGATTTTGACAGACGTGAGTTTAAGTTTGTGAGATGTTTTGACATATAAGACTGATGTTAGTGAATTTTCACCATCGCGATTCCAGGCGAAAAGAAAAGTGAGCATTTCTTCAGTAGTGAACAGCTACAAAATATTGATGAATGTTTACATCTGTTGATGCGAATATAAGTTCGACAAACTCATCTATATTGAGATGGATATTTGAATACCGAATGTAGATATGTAGTAGAAAACGTCCACATTCATACAAAGCATTTGAATGTTTGTTTCACATTATGTAATTACATCACTCGAACGAATGTAGTCTTCACGTCCATCATTGCCATTAAACTTGCTAATCAGAATAAGGTTGAATGCGTTCTATTTCAACGATTGGTTTCTGATGAAATTCACCACAAAATACCAGTTTGTAACAATTATGAGAATCAATTGCATTTACATTGTAACCACATTTGAACAATCTTTTTCCTGCAAATGATTTAGCTGTTGATGAACGTCAAGCAAACGAAGGAATAGACGACTTCGGTAAGTACTATTCTCTTCGATGAATGACACCATTGATAAATTTTCAAATGTGGCAAGTTTTCTCACTGTAATTTTCAGTCCGCTACAACTATCTTCAATGTAGTGTCGACCAACTCTGATCAACCTGAGTAGGATTTTATGTTCTTTCTATTCATTCGTTATTGAAAAGTTGAGTTAATGTAAGGCGTGTATGGAGATTCCACAGTTACTCATTTCCTGGTTTCTTCCAAATAATTCAAATAAAAACGAATATATGATAATAGGTAGATGTGGGAATATCTGCTGAAGCATATTTGTACAAATTGAATAAACATATGTTGACACTCATGTCATGAACAACGAAAGTTTACTGTAGGAATATATTCTGAGTACAACTACATATCGGACGATATGATGTCTAAGACCACTCAATCAACTGAAATGAAATTCTACAAGATATGCAGAATTCTTCAGACTGTGACTGATCTAGTACATTTTACCAATGATCTTTTCAGATGCTGAACACAAGGAAGGAAACAGAGAAAGTAACGAACTCAGTAAGTTGATTTCAGTGTGTTGCTTTGTTAACAAGAACAAATTCTGATTCTTGGAAATACTGATTTGTTGACGTGGAAAATGTTTAACAAACCATCTACACTATTGTAATTTATTCTGAGTTATGTCATTTAGATTCTCTAAGCATTGGTTGCGATAATCGCGCGTACCTTAACACAGCAGTTTGCATCTTCCAACACGGCTCAACCTGGAAGTTTGTGACTTCAATGACTGATAGCGTGTTTGGATTTGACCGCCTCAAATTTATCAAATCTTATCATAATTTACTAGCTAACGATTCATTTAATTCTATTGCACATTAGTCTTCCCCTACATTCTATTTGCATAAATGATGACTTTTTATTACATTTGAAGTAAATGTACAACTTATTTTTGTTACTCCAATGTGTTAAACAGACTTGTGAAAATTTTACAAAGTGGCATAACATCCATCTGTTTTAGTAAAAATCTGTCCGTGTGAAGCTTCATTACAAATATGGTTGTATACATGGGCTCAAGTATCATCGTCGATAACGAAGTTGTGCTGAATGAAACACATTCAATTCGTCTATTAACCGGTTTATTCTTAGTTTTCACCATATGAAGTTGAAGAAAATCGTAGGATGAAGTAGACTTGTGTTGCTTCGTGTAATTTAGTTCAAATTCGCACTTTCTCATTTGTACAAAAATATCTGATTTACTACAATTGCACATACAGTGTACCATCTAATGGTCGTTCGCTCTCGTGACGGAGAGAAACAATTTGTATTACTCCGCACACTTCTATTACCGTTTTCAACCAATTTATCATCATAATGATCATTGTCATTGTTAACTTAAGTTTCCGGTAGTGAGCCAAAGCAAACTTAGACATGAAAAGAAATACCCTAAAACATATACATTTACAATATTTGTGTATTTCGGTGTTTGACGATGGGAAAAGATATGGCTTCCTTTATATTTTAGACAATCTCGCCAATCGTGAAAGTGATTTTGACAGACGTGAGTTTAAGTTTGTGAGATGTTTTGACATATAAGACTGATGTTAGTGAATTTTCACCATCGCGATTCCAGGCGAAAAGAAAAGTGAGCATTTCTTCAGTAGTGAACAGCTACAAAATATTGATGAATGTTTACATCTGTTGATGCGAATATAAGTTCGACAAACTCATCTATATTGAGATGGATATTTGAATACCGAATGTAGATATGTAGTAGAAAACGTCCACATTCATACAAAGCATTTGAATGTTTGTTTCACATTATGTAATTACATCACTCGAACGAATGTAGTCTTCACGTCCATCATTGCCATTAAACTTGCTAATCAGAATAAGGTTGAATGCGTTCTATTTCAACGATTGGTTTCTGATGAAATTCACCACAAAATACCAGTTTGTAACAATTATGAGAATCAATTGCATTTACATTGTAACCACATTTGAACAATCTTTTTCCTGCAAATGATTTAGCTGTTGATGAACGTCAAGCAAACGAAGGAATAGACGACTTCGGTAAGTACTATTCTCTTCGATGAATGACACCATTGATAAATTTTCAAATGTGGCAAGTTTTCTCACTGTAATTTTCAGTCCGCTACAACTATCTTCAATGTAGTGTCGACCAACTCTGATCAACCTGAGTAGGATTTTATGTTCTTTCTATTCATTCGTTATTGAAAAGTTGAGTTAATGTAAGGCGTGTATGGAGATTCCACAGTTACTCATTTCCTGGTTTCTTCCAAATAATTCAAATAAAAACGAATATATGATAATAGGTAGATGTGGGAATATCTGCTGAAGCATATTTGTACAAATTGAATAAACATATGTTGACACTCATGTCATGAACAACGAAAGTTTACTGTAGGAATATATTCTGAGTACAACTACATATCGGACG